TTCCTTCCTTCCTTCCTTCCTCCCATAACTCTGCCCACTGTCAGCAATTAAATCCTGACCAGCTAAGGTTGACTCAGCCTTCTCTCCTTCCGAGGTGGGTGAAATGAGGACCCAGATTGTTGGGGGCAATAGGCTGACTCTGTAAACCGCTTAGAGGGAGCTATAAAGCATTGTGAAGCGGTATATAAGTCTAAGTGCTACTGCTATTGCTCCTCCTTTTCTCCTTCCTTCCTTCCTTCCTTCCTTCGCACAATGGTTAGAATGCAGTATTGCAGGCTGACTCTGCCCACTCCCAGCAGTTCAAGCCTGACTGGCTCAAGGTTGACTCAGCCTTCCATCCTTCCGAGGTGGGCAAAATGAGGTCGCAAAAAGGGATCACGTGTCCCTGGGATACTGCAACCGTCATAAATGTGAGTCAGTTGTCAAGCATCCAAATGTAAATCAGGTGACGAAAGGGATGCTGTGATGGTCGTTAAGTGTGAAAACTGGCCGTAAGTCCCTTGTTTCAAAGCCGTTGTAACTTTCGAACGGTCCCTAAATGAATTGCTGTCAGTCGAGGACTATCTGTAATAGGGTTGGAAAGGACCTTGGAGGTCTTCTAGTCCAACCCACTGCTCAAGGCAGGAGACCTTATATCAGCCCAGACAAGTGGCTGTCCAGTCTCTCCCTTAAAAAGCTCCAGTGTTGGAGCACTCACACCTTCTGGTGGCAAGCTGTTCCACTGGTTAATTGTCCTCACTGTTAGGAAGTTTCCCCTTAATTCTAAGTTGCTCCTCTCCTTGTTTAGTTTCCATCCATTGTGTCTTGTCTTCTGGTGCTTTGGAAAATAAGTTGACACCCTCCTCTTTATGGCAGCCTCTCAAATACTGGAATACAGCTGTCATGTCACCCTTAGTCCTTCTATATAAATAAATAACCATTTCCCGAACTGGAGGGGCTGACAGAAATCAAACTCCACTTACCAATGTTATAGATCTCCGAGCTGCCAAACCTTACTCCACTCGGATTCAGCGTGCCGTCGCTGGAAAAACAGAGATGAGCAGAAAAGAATCATTGAAGGTAAAGGTAAACGTTCCCCTCACACATATGTGCTAGTCGTTCCTGACTCTAGGGCGTGGTGCTCATCTCTGTTTCAAAGCCGAAGAGCTGTCTGAATATATCTCCATGGTCATGTGGCCAGCATGACTCAACACCGAAGACACACGGAACGCTGTTACCTTCCCACGAAAGGTGGTTCGTATTTTTCTACTTGCATTTTTAGGTGCTTTCAAACTGCTAGGTTGGCAGAAGCTGGAACAAGTCAAGGGAGCTCACTCCGTTAGGTGGCGCTAGGGATTCAAATTATTACGGTTCCGCAAAGTGGCAACAATGGATGCCATGCATTTTGCTTGGCCAAGAAGCCCATCGGGTTAAGTGTGCCCCCACCCCAAGCCCCCAAATCCTTAGGGAAGAATTTCATCAAAATGTCTTTGGAAATATTAGTGTTGTTGGTTTGAGCTCTGAGCTTGACGATTTGGTTGCAAACGGGTCGTCCCCATACGAGGAGACATCGTCCGTACGCTTTGAATTGTGACCGTCTGCCAGAACACAGACGATCTTTAAATCCCTTTTTATGAGATGCAAATTAGTCCGCATGTTGTTTGCTTGGGTGTTTCTGAGTCACGGTCTGACTTTGGACTGTTTTGCACTGACGAGGTCTCCTCGAATGGGGAAAACAGGCTTGCAACCAAATTGCCCAGCTCGGAGCTCAAACCAACAACATAAGGATTTCATTGCTCATTCATAAACAGGGCCAGAATTTTGCTCAAGTCATGACAATTGAAAATCAGGTCATCCACCTGGCCAGATTCAATTTTTATGAGAGCTGTTCAGCAAATCGCACGGTTTTAAGTCCAAATCTTATTATCCTGGCAAAAAAAAAAATCAGAAACCACAGTCACACGATCACAGGACTGCCACTGGGCATAAATGTGAGCCACTTGTCAGAGTGCCAAAATGTGATCATGTCACCAGGGAAGGCGACATTTTACGATGGTCAGAAGTGCTTTACGGTGCCACAAAGCAGCCTTTGAAGTCTACGTAACTCCAAAAGGTCATTAAGCAGCCGTTCGTAAGTCGAAAAGTACCTGTGTTTTATTCAGATTCACCACTCTTAGACCTCTGGTTTATACAGGCAGTCCTCGACTCACGACCACAATAGAGCCTAAAAGTTATGGTTTGTTACATGAGGCATTTATGAAGTGAGTTTTGCCCCATTTTATGACCTTTCTTGCCACCGTGGTTAAGTGAATCCCTGCAGTTGTCAATTAACACGGTCGTTAAGTGAATCCGGCATCCCCATTGTCAGGTCACAAGAAGTGATCACATGACCCTGGGACACTGCAACCGTTAATAAATATGAGTCAGTTCACAAGCATCCAAATTTTGGCCTTCGAGATGCTACAATAGCAATGGCACTCAGACTTATATACTGCTTTACAGTGCTTTATAATCCTCTCTAAGAGGTTGACAGAGTCCGCCTCTTTCCCCCAACAATCTGGTTCCTCATTTTACCAACCTCGGAAGGATGGAAGGCTGAGTCAACCTTGAGCCTGGTGAGATTCAAACTGCCAAATTGCAGGCAGCCGAGAGCCAGCAGAAGTAGCCGGCAGTACTGCACTCTGCGCCACTGTGCACAATGGTTAAGTGTTGAAAAATGGTAACAAGTCACTTTTTCCAGTGCCATTGTAACTTTCAATGGTCGCTAAACTGTTGTAAGTCAAGGACTACCTGTACAGGTTCCCATCAGAAGTGAGCTCTTAGTTTGCAGAGGGTATTTAGCAGCCTTCTCTAGATATTTCAGATATTTAGTGTCAGGGTCAGCTCTGACCCCACGTAATTTAGGGCCGCGATCATGACCCTGTTTCCGCCCTCCCCCAGGATGGGTCATCAATCACATTCACAATTTTGCGGGTTGTAGAGATCACTCCCCTCCGGCCACTATAAGCAAACCTGAGAGACAGCTTTGAGAGAGGCAAGTCTGGAATGTGGCATCTGTCTTTTGCTGCCGTGCCGATTCATCTGTTTCCCATCCCCCCTTTCCTATGGCAACTCGAGAGCAGGTCAGGGATGCTTTGCGAGTTGAATATCATATTCTCTAGATATTCCAAATTTTGTTCCAAAAATGGAAAGTAGATCAAAGAAAGAGAAGGATCTATAGATCTCCTCTGACCACGCTATCCTGAACTGCAAATCAGACCGACTCCCCCACACGCACACACACATATACAACCCCAAATTGCCAGGAATTAAATCCAGAACTTTCCACTCCAAGATGGATGCCTGGTCCTTTTCATCCTTCCTTCAACCCACCGTCAGCCAAATCGGGATCCAGACAGACGTTTTCCCAAAGGGTCAGCTCTGAGTGACAAGCTCACCTGCGGCCTAGCATGATGATCCCACCCGTCTGGGGGTTAATCTTGCAGTAGTCTCCGTGGGCCCAAACACCTGTCGAGGAAAAACCCACAAGGAGGTCAATCAAATCTTCACAAAAACATTCTTTATTTTTTTAAGTGCCACCACCACGTCACGGTCTGGCAGCCTTCGGAAGAATTGCACGCTCGGATTGTGCATTGTCTAGTCCAGTGATGGCGAACTCTTTTGGCACAGAGGGCCCAAACCAAAATGCACATGCATGGGTATGCATGTGTGCTTGCCGGAGCACCGAAGACCAGCTGGCCAGAGCACGCACATGCCTGTTTTGGGGGCTGTTTTTCAGAATGTTTTCACAATGTTTTTGTAAGGGTCTTCGCGGGTGCTGGAGCACTGGAAAACAGCCTAAAAACAGCCTGGAAAACGGCCTGGTTTTTCCGGCGCTTCGGCACCTGCAAAGAACAGCTGGCCAGTGCACAGGTGTGTGCCGGGAACCAGAAGAGCAGCATGTGCCCACTAAGAGGGCCATCTCTGTCACACGTGCCATAGGTTCACCATCCAGGGGTCTAGTCTGATTAAAAGAAGGACTAAGGGTGACATGATAGAAATGTTCCAATATCTGAGAGGTTGCCAGAAAGAAGAGGGAGTCAAGCTATTCTCTAAAGAACATGAGGACCATAAGCAATGGGTGGAAACTAATCAAAGAGAGAAGCAACTTAGAACTAAAGAGAATTTTCCTAACTGTGAGAAAAATTAATCAGTGGAAGAGCTTGCCTCCAGAGGTTGTGGGGGCTTCATCACTGGAGGTTTCAAGAAGAGACCGGATAGTCTATAATAGTACAGGGCCTCCTGCTTGAGCAAGGGGTTGGACTAGAAGACCTCTAAGGTCCCTCCCAACTCATTCTTTCTATTCTATATTCTATTGCATGTCGGTAGAGACTAAAAAGGAAAGTTGTTTTGACATCATCAGAAAAATCTCTTCCCCACCCCTCCCCATGAGTTTCCCACCCTTGCCTTTCAGAGGTTGGCAAACGGGGGCAACACCATCGCAGCTCGGGTTGTGCGTGTCGGAAGAGACAAAAGAGGAGCGTTGTGATACCTGACGGGGCGACACCGTCGCAGCCAGAGAAGCTGCCGGCCTCTCTCTCTCTTTGCATTGCAAAATAAAACCCAGTTAGAAACCAGCTCGTTTCAGAAGCCAGAAAAAGATGTTTAAAAGGGGAAAGGAATGACACTCTCTCCTCTTTTGCTGGCAGAGCGAAAGGAAATCAGAAAGTCAAATAGAGGCAAGGATCCAGAGGTCGGCGCTATCAGATTGGCAATTCCCTAGGCAAATATTGGTCCTCACAGCAATTCTTGATGGGTGTGTTCAAATATTAGTTTACTGTAAAGGCACTAGCAAGACCAGAGAGCAAACACACACCTACACACACACACACTCAGCTTAAAGGTCTGTAGACAATCTCAGTCCTCCAGGTCCTGGTTGTCCCAAAAGTGCTTTTTTTCAGGAGGCAGCTTGATTTTCTGGGTTTTTCTCTGAAGACATTTCGCTTCTCATCCAAGAAGCTTCTTCAGCTCTGATTGGATGGAGAGGAATGGAAGGATTTATCTTCCTTGCAGACAGCTTGTCATTTGCATCCTTTTAGAGGGTCGCTGAGGCCACTTGGAGGTTTGTCTGTGTCCTCAGGGCCACCAGTGTGATTCAAATGATTCCTGTAGTCTGCAATTTTTTTCCCACAAAGACTTCTTGGTTATACAATTTGGGATGAAGACCCTTTGAATGGGGTGGGAGTAGGAATGGATTTCCAGAGAGAGAAAAATTGCAGACTACAGGAACCATTTGCACCACTCAGGTGACCCTGAGGACACAAATAAGCCTCCAAGTGGCCTCAATGACCCTCTAAAAGGATGCAAATGACCAGCAAGGAATATAAATCCTTCCATTCCCCACCATCCAGTCAGAGCTGAAAAAGCTTCTTGGGTGAGAAGTGAAATGTCTTCAAAAGAAAAAAAACAAGAAAGTCCAGTTGCCTCCTGAAAAAGCACCTTTGGGAATCTCAGCTTGAAGGTTACGGCTCTCTCGACACATACCTGAAAATCTGGAAAAATACGCTTTTCGGTATTTGTTGCCATTTTCATCGTTCCAAAAATGTGTGGGTTGGCAAGGCATAGGTTTGGTGCAAACCAACTCACCGCTTTCTCCCCAAACAGGTTCTCCTGGTTGGGAAAAAAAAATCAAATAAAAGGGTTATTTCCCCCCGCAGGAGGTTAAGTATTGCTTCACTGTTTGCACAGGGCTTACGTCAGCTCTGCTGAGGGACACCTGCTTCCGTTTCTCAGCTGACAATAGCGGAGGTTACTTCCTTGACATGGGTAGTCCTGTCTCTCATCAGTCCAATTTACCAATTTAGGTGGCCAATAGACCAAAAGGAATATTTGTAGCTCAGAGTTGAACTGTGCAGTCTTTGGTTCACTCGGAGTTTGGTGGTTTTCTTGCAGACGTTTCATGAACCAACTAAGTAACATCATCAGTGCTAAAAGGGAGTGGGGTTTCTAGAATGGAGAAAAGGAGGAAGAGGAGGAGGAAGAAGCCTGTAGGATCCTTAGTACTCTCGGAGTTTGGTGGTTTTCTTGCAGATGTTTCATGACCCAACTACATAACATCATCAGTGCTAGAAGGGAGTGGGGTTTCTGGAATGGAGAAAAGGTGGGGGGACGACAACAACGACAATGACAACAATGATGACTGTGGGATTCTTGGTACTCTCTGAGTTTACTGGCTTTCTTACAGACGTTTCATGACCCAATAGAAGGGAATATCTGTGGGTTCCTTGGTGCTCTCTGAGCCGGGTTGTTTTCTTGCAGATGTTTTGTAACTCAACTACATAACATCATCAGTGCTAGAAGGGAATGGAGAATTGATGTGGTCCGCCGGAGCTGGCAGCAGATTCAGACAGTGAGAAGGTTTGGGAGGAACCTGAGCCAGTCCTGGAGTCTGGGGAAGGCTCTGAAGAGGGCTCTGTGTTGGAGGCAGAGAGGGGGCCAGGGCCGTCTGACTGTTATAAGCTGCCTCTGAAGCCTCCAGAGTCAGACATCAACGAGGCAGAGGAACAGGGGGAGCCTGTTCCCAGTGCATGCATGGACAGAGCTGCCAGAAGGCAAGAACAGTTAAGACAAAAGACTCAGGCGACTCAGGAGTAAGGCTTGAAGATGATTGGCCCCTCCCATAAAACATAAAAGAGGAGCAAATGAGCCTTTGCAGGAAGCAATTTTGTTCATTCTGATCGGTTTAAACTCTGAAGCTCCATTTGACTGTGTTCCATTTGGCAGTTAGATCTTTGGCAGCATTTCAGGGGAGATAAAGGTGGGAGCTTCTCAGCCTTATCCCGAAAGACTTTGACAGACTTCTGCCGGACTCTTTTTATAAACTATTTGTGACTCATTACAAGCTGTGAATGAATGTAATTCACAGCCTTTGAAATAAAGAGAAGGTTTTTGGGACTAAGTGTGTGATTTTTACTGTCTCAGGAAGCCTAATTCAGAACAGGAATGGGGTTTCTGGAATGGAGAAAGGGTAGGGAGGGGGAGGGGGACAACTGTGGGATCCTTGGTACTCTCTGAGCTTGGTGTCTTGCAGA